ATAAAGTAAATAAATGACTGAGTGAAGTAAGAACATACTTCACTTTGGTTTTTCCTCTTTTCAGTCATCAAGTGTTGAGTGTTGAAAATTAGCAGTCTTTCATGTTAAATTTAATCTTCATATTACAACAATAAAAATTTTATTTAAATAAGCAAAATAAATGCAGAAGGTCTAATCTTTTCAAATGGAGAAAATACATAAAGTAAAGGAGTAATATCAAATGGTCACATACACTACTATTCAAAATTTGGAGTCTGTACGTTTTTTTTTGTGTTTGTTTTGAAAGAAATTAATACTTTGATTAAATAAGGATGCATTAAATTGAATAAAAGTGACTGTAAAGACATGTATAATGTTAGGAAATCTTTCAAATTTCAAATAAATCCTGTTTGAACTTTCTATTTATCAAAGAATCCTGTAAAAATGCATCACGGTTTCCACAAAGGTATTAAGCAGCACAACTATTTTGAACACTCATAATAAAAAGAAATGTTTCTTGTGCAGATCAGCATACTTATTTTATTTTTTATTTAGTCATTTAGCAGACGCTTTTATCCAAAGCGGCTTACAAATGAGGACAATAAAAGCAGTCAAAACTAACAAAAGAGCAACAATATATAAGTGCAAATGACAAGTCTCGGTTAGCCTAACACAGTACACGTAGCAAGGTGTATATATACACATACATATACACACACATACATATATATACACGACTGCATGTGGCCTGCTAGTTTTGAAATGGATGGTTTGTATTGCTGACATACCTGGCACTACATCTGAACGTAGAGTAGGCCAGTAGCAAATGTCTTAAGAGTTTTGAGCCTGCCAAGATGTCCACTTAGCGGTTTGTTGTGTGCGTAGTTGAGAAAACTTTGTCTTAAACAGGTAGGAATGACTAATTGAAGTTTGGGCCCTTTCTGTCCTTGCGGCATGCTGCGAAACAGAAATCAATTTTCCAACACGTAATGAATGCGAGTGAGATCTGGGTCAATGGATGCTTTGGTTTTTATGATGAGTTCTTGTATTTCTGCGTCTTCCTGTTGGGCTTTTGCGATATCGGACCATTCAATGGGAAATTAAGAGAAAGTGGTTGACGCATCCTGGGACTTTACCGGTGACAGCATAGTCAGTGGAGAGGTATCCGGAAAACTGCGTGACAGTGTATCAGGTACGATGTTGCACTGACCTTTACGATACTTGACGGTGAAATCAAACTCTTGCAAGCGAATGGACCAACGGATCAGACATGAAGAGGGTTTTGGGTGATTGAATACCCAGGTTAAAGCAGCATGATCAGTTATCACTTCGAAAGGTCTTCCTTCCAAGTAAGGTCTCCATTTTTCAATAGCCCATATCACTGCGCAGCACTCCTTCTCCGAAACGGGGTACGATTTCTCAGCTCCTTGCAGTAGACGCGAGGCATAGGCAACGACATGTTCGAGACAATCTATATCTTGGGTCAAGACCGCTCCCAAACCAATATCACTGGCATCAGTCTGGACTCTAAAAGATATTGACAAATCCGGAGCAATTAAAACTGGGGCGCTGGTTAGTTCATGTTTGATCAAGTCAAAAGAACTGACACTCCTCTGTCCAAGTCCATGTAGCTCCCTTCCTTTTCAAGGCATGCAACGGGGCAGCTTTCTCAGAAAATTGAGAGATGAATCGGTGGTACCATCCGGCTAGACCTAAGAAACGTTGCACTTCTTTTAGGGACTTGGGAACAGGAAAGTTGGCAACAGCTTCAACTTTAGCAGGGTCAGTTTTAATTCCATCTGCTGAGATTACATGCCCCAAAAACTGTAAAGAGTTCTGCATTAGGTTACACTTTTGGAGGTTTAAGGTGAGACCTGCATGGTTCAGACACTGGAAGATTTCTCTAAGGTGGGCTAGATGCTCTTCCTCTGACTTGGAGTAAACAACTACATCGTCGATGTACACAAAACAACTCTTACCCCTCACATCCTTCAGTATCAACTCCATCAGTCGCTGAAATGTAGCTGCGGCGTTTTTGAGGCCAAAAAGTAAACGAAGAAATTCATATAATCCTGAAGATGTAGCAAATGCAGTTTTGGGAATACTGTCTGGCTCCATCTCAACTTGCCAATACCCGCTTTTGAGATCAAGGGTATTGAAAATAGCAGCTCCATGCAGAGATTTCAGAATCTCATGTATTTGAGGCATGGGGTAAACGTCCAAGTATGTTTTTGAGTTTAAACCTCTAAAATCAACACAGAATCGCTGACCACCTCCCTTCTTTGGTACCAAGACCACGGGTGCTGCCCATGGAGAAAGTGAGGGTCTAACGATCTTTTTGTCCAGCATTACCTTGATTTCCTTTTCAATGAACTGTTGTTTCTCATGTGATACTCTGTATGGTCTTTTACGGCTGGGTACTTTACTGGTGGTAATGATGCGGTGCTTGACTATGTCAGTGCATCCTATTTCGTTGGTGCAAACAGTGGGCCATTCTTTCATCAAATGCTTGAGTTGTGACTGACATTCTGGAGTCGTGTCTGCATTGGTGACCAGTTGCTGGATAAATGACTGGGTTTCTGATGACTCTTCTGGCAAGGGTAAGGCAAGGTAGAACGAGAGCAATGCATTGGGGGAATTGACAGGCATGAATGAGAATGTTTCTTCTCGTCCGTGATCCAAGGCAGGCAAGATATACGGAGCATTAAGAAAATCCAACCTGATTCCCGTAGTCATCAGAAAATCCATACCCAAGACGACTGGTACAGTGAGATCCTCATCCTTCATTACATACAATGTCAAATCATACCTCCTTCTTTGCATTTCACATTCACAATTCCACAAACCTAAAGCATATAACACTTGGCCATTGGCTTGTTTGAATGTTTGCCCTCGGCTGGAACTCAACTGCTCTTGGCGTTTCATCTGCTTCCAACAGGATTCTTGTATGAGAGTTAGTGAGCTACCAGTATCTATCACAGCTTGAAAATATCTTCCACGAATCAATATTGGCAGGGTGATCACCTTCAAATTGAATATACTAGCATTAGGAACAGACTGCAGAATACGAGCATGTGAGGGATTCGACTTATGATGGGTACCTTGGTCAGTTTGGTTTCTGCGCTTCTGGGTTTCAGCATTGGCCTGGCTCCAATACTTCTTGGCCTCCTCAAAGTCCCTCTAAATTTGTGTTCCAACTCTTACCAATTCACCCACCTCTTCCACGGTGCCCCTTAACAGACTTGCAAGTCGAGGATTGCAGTTTCTTAAAATCGACTGTACAATCTCCTTCTCAGACATTCCCTTCTTCCACCGCAAACACAAAGCACGATAATGGTAAGCGAAGTCTCAGATAGATTCTTTTGGCCCTTGCTTCCTTTCCATTAGGCACTTAGCAGCTTCGGCTTCGTAGTCATCAGACAAGAATGCATGCAAGAAATCTTGCCTGAACTGATCCCAAGTAAAAATGTGTCTCCTTTCTGCTAGCCACCAGTCTTTAGCTGTCCCCTTCAACACTGAAGTGAGAGAAGCTAGAATCTCTGAGTCCCCAAGCGGTCTGAGTGCAAAATACTCTTCGCATCGTTCAACAAAAGCAATTGGATCATTGTCTTCTTCTGAGCCAAACTGCGGGAATTCAACTCTTACCGGTGGGCGATATGGAACAGATGTTGTAGTATCAGGCATGCTGGGGGTATTAGGCTGCACAGTTCATGACCTATTGGTATTTTTTGGTAAGGCAGGGGTGAACAATGGAAGAGAAACTGGGGTAGACATAACACGAGCATATTAATTAAACTTTGAGTTGGGCATCTCTCCTCCTCAAACAATCCACCACTGACTTTCACAAATCACTTATACTCAGCTCAAGAACACTTTTAACTCTCTCACACTCCCTTTCAATCTTGTAGTTCAACTTATCTTCTAATAAACGAGATTGGTCCATAACCTCAGAGTGTGAACAATATTGACTCAGTTTTTGGGTGCAGGCTTGAACTTCCCCTTCAAGGGCTGAGATACGCTTGGAAAATGAATCCGTTAACTCTGCTGAAGGTTGAATATCAAGAACTGGTTCGTCAGGGGGAGGAGGAGGAAGAAATGGAGCATCAGGAAGAACGTTGGAATCATTATCTTCATCAGAGTTGAGATATAAGTCAATGAACGTATGAATAAGTTCTTGCACAGGTTGTGGATCTCTTCTGGTGACAAATGGACTGGCAGTGAAATTAGGATTGGGTTCGTACTCATCCTCCATACCATGTGACGTGACTGACATGACTGAAACCCAACAAACAACAATTAATAAACAGACCATAACCCTTAAACACTCATTTAGCAAAGCACGTCCCTGTTCGGGCGCCACTCTATAACTGTCCCAGCTATTCAAAACTGGGATTGCTATACCAGAAAAAAAAGGGGGGCCCAGTATCTTTGCAAAGGGTCTAATTGGTTATTGGGTGTAAGTTCTGCAGTAAATGCAAAAATGCCCAAAACGGTCTAAATTCCTTTTCCAAATGTGTATTAAACCATTTTCACTCCATAGTTACAAGCAACAATTTATAAAGCACCAACAAACAACCTCACCCAGGGCTGACAAAAAGAATAAAAATAAGCAATGAAACAACATCCAGTGGAAATGTGCAAAGGCTTGAATGTGAAATGTCCCATAATCTGTAGATTAGCCAAACCAGTACAGGTCAATGGTTGTAGTTCATGAATAAATCAACTGTCTTATCTGATGATTAGATGATTTCTGTATTTGTAGAAGTCCTTGAAGTAGGGGGCCAGGAACGCTTTGGGTATAATCCTTGAGCAGTTGCAATAATGCACTCAAAAGAACTCCACAGTTGTGCATCCACACAGCAACATGGTTGTAAACATGCTAGCCTCAGCATGTATTGCGACAATTAAGCACAAGAACAGGCAAAACAAGAAAAATCCTCTAGAAAAAGAGAACAACCAGTCAGAGTCCATAAACCAAACAAACATGGTATACAAATCATTGCAAAATAACCTTCATAAGCTTTCACCAATATCCTACAAAATACAACAATGGGTGACATAAAACATCAAACTTACGGTTGAGCAGCAAACTAAATGTTTCTCAAACAAGGATTGTTTGTAGCGCAGCAAGAAACCATGTGGAGTTCAAACTGAGTCTCTCTCTCACTCTACTGCTCCCTTCCTTTATACAGAAATGGTAGAGCTACTAGGGCCACCTAATGGTCCGGAAGAACATTGCACGCCAAAATAATACAAAATGAACCTTGTGACAGGCTATGACTGTTACAGTAAAGGGATACCTATTGGTCTTTATAGTTCTTTTGCACTTTTATCTGTGTAAAACTTTTAACTTTATACATTTTTCTGTATTGCTTTATTGCATTTAAATGTTCAGTTATTTTTGTTATAAGAAAAAAGTTATTAAACCTGTTATACTGTAGTATTACAGCACTTTTGTTAAACTAAATTTCAATATCGCGATAATACCGCATACTGTGATAAAAGCATTAGCAATTAATCGCAACATGAAAATTTGATACCGCTTTATACATTTTTCTGTATTGCTTTATTGCATTTAAATGTTCAGTTATTTTTGTTATAAGAAAAAAGTTATTAAACCTGTTATGTTATACTGTATTATGACAGCACTTTTTTTTAAACTAAATTTCAATACCGTGATAATACCGCATACCGTGATAAAAGCATTAGCAATTAATCGCAACATGAAAATTTGATACCGGCATATCCCTAATGAGACAATGAACATATAGACAACAGAGAGCGAATTAAATTCAGCACTTTTATTTCCAACATACGCCCATTCATGTCTGCATATTATTTAATTCACGCAAAGTTACGTCTTTATTGGGACAGGACTTGACGGATTATTTTACGTGACTCCGTGAGTTCGTCTCTATTTCTTCGAGCCAAGCTGCATAAACTGCATATTATCAGGCATTTACGTAATACATCTAATTTGTTCATTAATGGCTGTTATGTTAAATAAAGTTTACTAACTACAGTAAATCAAGTACCTGTGCGCACGTCGTTGTTGTTGCCTTGTTTCCCCTCAGACGCGCTGCAATGTTGATCCTGCGCGCAATTCTCAAAACATCCACAAGATGGCAGCGTTTATCAGTGAATCAGATATTACAAAACCGATATCCGATTATTGTAAAATGCTTAAATATCGGGGAAAATATCGGTAAAACGATATATCGGTCGATCTCTATTGGGCTATACTGCATGACAGATGGAGGCGCTGGTGTGATCATTTGCTCTTAAAATACTTCGTAATTTTTGGTCATACAGATAAGAGTAATGCATCTTTTGTATCTATAAAGACTCTACGCTTATTTGTGTGCACTCAGAATAACAATGAAACGTTGCTCTTTTGTAAAATAACTAAAGCAAACAGGATGCGGTTTCTGCCGTCTCGGTCTGTGAACTTGAGCACGTCACTTCGAAACTCTTGCCTCTGTATTCTTGCCTTATTACAGACATGAAAAATATATCTATAGAGAGTGAAACTTTTAAATGAACCAATTCAAATAGAAAACAAATATTCTCAGATCATGTAATCCGTATGAAACATGCATACAGGCGCATACTGCGAAGATGATGAGTCAGTGTCGCCGACTTTCTTTTAAACCTAAAACAGAAAGCACTAGTCAACTCTCTACGGACACCTTGGCAATTGAAACGCCATTGGCTAGTACATTTTTTTGTTTACTCGCCAGACTGAAATACTATACTTACATATATATATATATATATAGCTGTGCCATTTTACAAACACACACACACACACACACACACACACACACACCATGAACTTAGGACTGGTGCTGCTAGTGTAACAATAAATTATTAAAACGTTAATGCAGTGTACTTGCTGTTTTTCCCTAACACATTCATAATTATTATATTTGCCGGTGCGCTGTGGCAAGCCTTTTTTTTTTTTGCGTGCGATTGAGCGCTTATTAGGCTATGTAGGCAATTAAAGGCTCATTATTATGATTTATATGATTTATTAATAAAAGTGCGACTAATAGTTGGCTAATGCTTAAAATGAACGACTACTAGTCGACGAGAAAAATTTTTAGTCGAGGGCAGCCCTAATGCATATTGACTAATTGTTTACGAGAAGCATATACATATAAGAGGCTGACAATTAGCTGAATATATACTTGTTTAATTAGTGACACTTAGCCTGCATTTTAAAATCTTTATTTGAATGTGGCAATTAACATTTTTATTTTAAAACCTTTATTTTATAATATGGCAACATAATATTGCGCTCTACAATATTTCTATGAATAAATCTCTGACAGAGACTATCAGCCAATCACTGTGTGTATAGTTAGTAAGTATGCTGACATCATCCATAGCAACAAGGTCAACCCCACCCTTACTCTTATCTTAAGACTTCTGTCTATTCATTAGTACAAATTTACCTCAGCAGCTTTGTGAATAGGTTTTAAGAGAAAACTCTTAGCTAAAAACTTTTACTGCTATTTAGGAGAACTCTTAGTGGTAAGATAAAATGTTTTGTGAATACAGGCCCTGAACTAATTGCACAAAAAAGTTTTCCTTCATTTAATTAATTTAACAGAACAAGCTATTTTTTTGAATGCATGTTAATGACAATTTCATTTACATTTGTAATGTACTCCATAACGACTGATCAAAAAGACTGATCTCAGAACTGGCTTTAGCACAGTTATTGCTCACTGAGTGAATCAACATGTTATCATTGAAGCCGCCAGCACTTAAGCATGAGCACAGTGGTAACTAGTGCCGTGTTCAAAATATCAATACGACGATACGAGCATAGATACAGCTGGCCCTGTATCGATATTGTGGCACGTGTGCAGCAGTGGACCGCGCTTAATTTGTTTAAAATTTTACGTTTAAAATTGAGTAGAAAAGTGTGAGGTTTCTAAAAAAGAATGAATAGAGCATATATAGGCTACAACAAGGTTTAAT